GACCAGGGGTCGGGCGGCGATAACAGACGTCGGGCATGTATGCATCCTCGTGTGTTGAAGGGCGCGTGCACGGCAACGAGCTTGGTCTTGTCCGGACAGATGCTGCGTCCCCCTCGGCGCCGCGGCGTTGCTCGCGCACGGTCGCGAGATCGCGAAAGTACACCTGCACCGGCAGCAGCGATGGCACGAAAACGAAGCCGCCTGCGCGCGCTCGTCGCCTGCGTCGCCGCGGCGTCGCTGACGATCACCTGGCGCCTGCTGCGGAGCGCACCCGTAGCACCGGCCGCACGCGCGCCGAGCGCGCCGCGCGTCGCGCACGCGCCCGAGGCCGCGGCCCTGCTGCCGTCGAAGCGGAAGCGCGCCACGCGCGACGTGCCCAGGCACGCGCAGCGGACGTTCTTCGCGCAGCCGTCGAACGGGCGCATGGCGGCGACGCTCCTCGGCCTCGGCTGGCGGCGCGCGGAGCGCTGGCAGGACGCGGAGCTGCTCTGGTACCAGAAGAAGACGTTGATCGACTGGGACCGCGTGAAGCCCTGGCAGCTCGTGAACCACGTGCGAGCGGAGAAGCACATCGGGTCCAAGGCGGACCTCCACCACCACCTCGAGGGCACGCCCGCGGCCGCGTGGACGCCCGAGACCTACGACCTCAAGGACGCGAAAGCGCGGGCGACCTTCGTCGACCTGGCGACCCGCGAGGCGCCGCGGGCCGCCGGCGAGAAGCCGCGGTGGCTCCTCAAGGACCCCGTCGTCGACGGCGGCAACGGCATCGAGATCCTCGACGCGGGCGCGGACGCGCTCGACGCCGCGGGCGGCCTGCTGCCGGACCACCGGACGAAGCTCGCGCAGCGCTACGTGTCGGACCTGCTCCTCCTCGACGGCCACAAGTTCGACCTGCGCGTCTACTGGGTCGTCGCGTCGTTCGCTCCGCCGCTCGTGTACTACTACGACGGCACGCTCCGCGTGTCCCTGTCCAACTTCACGGCGGACGGGCCCCGCGACAAGTCCGCGGACCTGACGAACGCCGCGCAGCAGAAGGGCGGCCACTCGTCGCACGACGAGCGGAGCCGCCAGGCCATGTCCGCGCTCTGGGCCCTGCTCGCGCGGCGCGCGCCCGACTTCCCGGCCTGGCCCGCCGACGCCGCGGGCCACGTCAAGTGCGAGATCCGCCGGGCCATCCAGGAGATCTGGAAGCCCTACGCCAGGGTGCTCCGGCCCCAGGGGCCCGACGCGTTCGTGCTCTTCGGCGCGGACTTTATGATCGACGAGAAGCTCGGCGTGCACCTGAGCGAGATCCAGTCGGGCCCGGGCCTCCCGACGAACACCAAGGCCGTGCGCGAGGTCGTCGAGGCCATGATCCCGGACTTCGCCGCCGTCGTCCTCGCCGTCCGCGACGAGCCCGACGCGGCGCACGCGACGGCCAAGGCCGTCGCGCAGCAGCGCGGCTTCGAGCTCCTCGTCGACGGCGCGGCCGCGCCGGCGCCCGCGTCCTGCGAGGGGCGGCGGGCCTCCTGGCTCGAGGAACGCCAGGAGCTAACCATGCGATGAATTCGGCCGTCCGGAGCTCCCCATGCGACGACTTAGGCGTCCGGAGCTCCCTGGGCATGCGATGACTTAGGCGTCCGTCGCGTTCGCGCGGGCCTTGGTGTCCCGCAGGTACGCGCGCAGGAACTTGGCCTTGGAGTCCTTGCAGGAGAAGCCGCTGTAGGAGGTCTTGCACCGCTCCGTGTCGGCGATCTGCTCGCGGATGACGCCCTTGGCGTAGGCCGGGTCCCCCAGCAGCGCCGCCGCGCGGCGGAGGCGCGCGTCGTCCTCGGACGTCGCGAACCAGCCGAGCGCCTTGATCGCCTTCGCCGCGAGGGGCGCCCGCGGCTTGCCCAGCAGTTCCGCGGCGCCGTGGGACGTCACCGTGCGCGCGCGGATGGGGAGCGCGCCCGCGAGGCGGATCACGGGGCCCTTCCACTGGGGCTTGCTGTGCGACGGGCTCGCCGGGTTCTTCGCGAATACGTCGAGCCGCGTCTGCACGTGCGTCACGGACGTCGGCTCGTCCTTGCCCCGCGCGGCGACGGTGAAGCCCGGCGTGAGGCACTTCCACTGCGACTGCTTCGCCTTCTGCGTGACCTTGACGAGCGTGCCCGGCAGCGTTCGGACGGTCCGGCGGCCGCCTTGCTGCTCCTTCGTGGAATCGCGCGCGGACCACTCGAAGGCGTCGTAGCTGCAGAGCAGCGCGTCGGACTTGCGCTTCCGATCGAAGAGCTCGTGGACCGCCGCGCGCTGGAGGCTCAGGATCGTGTCCGCGTGGAGGCCGTCGTCGCCGTCTAAAAGCGTCGACAGCCGGAACCGCGGCGGCGCCGCGCACGTCCGCAGGCCGACGTGCGCGAGGAGCGCGCAGGCCGTGAAGTCGCGCGGGAGCACGACGTCCGCCGCGTCGAAGGGGGGCACGCCCTCGGCGGCCCGCTTCTTGAGGAGCGCGGCCCGTTCCTTCACGCCGAGCTCGGGCCGATGCTCGTTGATCCGCTCGAGCTCGAGGCGCTTCGCCGCGGGCAGCTCCGGCAGCGTCTCGACGACAAAAAAGTGGGCGTGGGGCGCGAGCTTCTCGTAAAGTTCGGCCGCGTGGCGCGCCGGCCACTTGGACGCGCGCGCGTAGATGATCCACGCGAAGTTCGTCGTCGTCTGCCGCGCCATCGACGGCAGCGTCACGGCGAAGAACAGCGCGAGCCGCGCCTCGAGGAGCGCCTCCAGATGCTCCTCGTTGATCTGGAGCCGCGTGTGGACGACGTGGGCGACGGTCGTATTCTCGCCGAGGAAGCTCTTGCGCAGCTTGCTCCGCGCCTTGTCGAAGGTCGTCTTGTGCGCCTCGCGCCGCTCCCACCGCGGCAGCGCGCGCCGGCTCCCCAGGGCGCGGTCCGCGTCGATCCAGGGCGGCGTGGGAGACCCGCGGCCGAGCCGGAGAAGCCGCGCGTCGTCGAGGGCCGGAGGCGCGCAGGGGGAAACGCGGTGCCGCGTTTCCGCGTCCGAATGATGCGAGAAGAGGTCCGCCAAGTGCGTCGCG